TCTCTCTCTCTCTCTCTCTCTCTCTCTCTCTCTCTCTCTCACTCTTTGTTTCTCTCTATGTAGAGCAAAAAGTCACATTTCTCTGTGATAATTTTAAAAAATAATTATTAAGGTGAACATACATCATTTATATACAAAAACAAATGCGTAATATTACTAGCAGCATAATAAACAATTTTTATTTTTTTTTTTTTGTTTTTTACAAAACAAAAACTAAACATTTCAAATGTTAACTCTCCGTGTATATATGTTTTAGAAAATGTAGAGCAATATATGTTTAAAAACTCAAAAAAAAAAAAAAAATAAATATATATTAATTAACATTTAAAAAAAAAAAAGGTTAAATAAAAAAAAAATAAAGAATAAAAAACTAAAAAAGATTATGAAGGAGGACCCATGCCATGCAATGCTGCACGAGCTTAGCTTTTGTGAACGACGTGATGCGTTAACGTTCCTTTCTGGTTTCTTGACTATCTTTTTGTTTATTGTTAGTCTTCTCGAATATCAATGTCACTGGACAGTTTGAGTTTCATCTCATGAAAAGCTTATAAGATTCGAAGCGTGAACAATAACAAAATCTTATGGTCATTGCGTACACAATGAAATGAAAATCCGTTGATGATATATGCGAAGGTATGAGGCACTCTTAAACTCTCACGACGCCATCATATGGATCATATGCGATCATTTTGAACTTTGAATCAGCTTAAAGAAATTGTCCGCCTTACATCAATAAATTTATTTGACTCTTAGTTTATTAATAGAAACAAGTCGCTGAGATTATTTTAGTAGGAGAGGGGGGGGGATTATTCATAGACCGAAGCTTTTCTTCTGCAAAAACTATAATTATCGGACTTGGTTAAGAGAGTTCATATTAAGAATAGTTTCAAGTTCCTTTCTTGTATTTTACCTCTCGCAGAATTCGAACAACAACTGGAACTTTCTTTAACCCATCGATTAAATAAATATAGACTTTTATGGCATCTCTTATAAGTCATGTCTTTTGCACATGTCACAAATGAAGTGAGAGAGTGAATGAACCTTCTTTTTGCGACTATAGGTATAAATATATAACAAAAAAGAGAAGAAGAAGAAGAATTAAGCTATAAATAAACAAACGATAAAATTGCATGTATTTTTTAGCCGAAACTTTTCATTTTTTTAGTTTTTCACAAGTCATGTACAAACTGTTACCAAATCATGAAAAGTAGTTTTTTTTTTTTTTTTTTTTTGAATTTTCTCTTATTTCGATTTATTTGTATTTTCATTTGTTTTATTTTTTCTTCTTTTTACTATTTTTGCTCGGGTTTTGCATAAATTTTTAAACGACAAAAATGAAATCATTTGAAACAAAGAAGGAAGAGAAGGAATAATAAAATAAGAAAATTTCAATTTATTTTCTTGCCAGACAAAAAGAATAAATAAGAAGAAGTAGAGAAAAAGAAAAGTGCGGAAAAAAAAATTTTTAATAAAAAACGAGAGAAATGAAATCACTCACTCATATTTGTAAAAAAACAACTAATAGTTACTCTAAGTAAACTTTATATTTATGAAAAGCTGTCAAAATCTAAATCAATCCTGTGTATTCCGCAAGCAATGTGGAAGAAGAAGAAGGTAAATTTAAAAGCAAAACAAAAATAAATAAAACAAAAAGAAGAAGAAGAAGAAGAATAACTAAATTGAAATTAAAAATGAAAATAAATAAATGATAAAATATTCAAAACTAAAGAATACAAAGGATTTTATTATGACGAGAAAATAACAAAACAGGTAACCTTACCCATCCGCTTGATAAATAATTTAGTTAAGTTATTGGAATACAATGAACTTTTCATTTTTCCTTAATTGAGAATAATTTATCCAGAACGCTTTTGAAAGTAAGTGCAAATATTTCCGTGATCTTTAACGACCGAAGTAACTAAATACTTTAGAAATTCTTTGTTATGGGTCGAGGCTAAACGACTGAAGAATTCTCCTTAAAGTGTAGAGAACTGTATTAGGTATTTGCTACATGTACTCTACTTATGGTACTTACTTATGCTTTTCAATTTTCTTCCATAAGAAGTCATTTATTTCTTGGTATAAACTCGCTTTTAAGATAGAATAGACAAGAGGCTGTCTAAGGCATCGTTAACTTAAGGAGCTTTTCTGTTTCTAAGATAGTTGGTGCGTCTTGAAAGACTAAAATAATAGATCATAACTAACATGTTACGTAGTGTTTTTCGGTCTCTCTCTCTCTCTCTCTCCCTCTCTCTTAACCATTAACCTAGGGTTAGCGAAATGAAGAAAATAATCAGTTTTGGTTTTAGTTCAACGAAAAAGTTGAATTTTCTTTAAATTTGACAAAAAAAAAGGTAAACATTTGTTAATAATATATGCTTAAACTAACGTATGGCTAATTCTGTCCGTGCTTCCCCAAAAAATTAGTAGGCTAAAGGTGCTATCCGTGGTCGGATAAGTAA